CACTTCTAAAGGGAATAAAATGAGCTTTATGAATGTTAGGTGGTTGAATTCAGTCGACAGAAACTTGATGTATGAAACTGTTTATGACAGCTAGGCTAGGAGCCATTACTTATCTGTGACACATCATTGACATAATAAAAGTCAGACAGCATTCGGCAATAAGTGTTGAACCTAGGTTGCCTCCAACCATCTAATATCATCAAATCAATGCACACCGAGATGGCGAGCTACCTAGAATGGTGGCCATATTGCAAACCTGACTGGTAGAATTCAGTCTGCACCAAATAAGGGACTAGACACGTGACACTAGTTACTAGTGTCCAATCAAAATACCCACTACAGTCCTACAGGAGGTCAATTGCGAGCCGGAATAGCTCAGTGGTAACGTCTCTGAGTGCAGAACTCACTGGGTGACGCAGGTTCGAATCCCAGAAGGGACATGAGTTCCTTCAAGGTTGCAGATACGCCTTGCTGACTGGTGAGTGCCAACTAGCACGAAACCTAGGTTCAAGGCTTTCTGTGGCCGATTGCCTCCAATCATCGAATATCATCAAAGCATTCAAATTCAAAGAGAGAGAAAGGGTTATTGTTGTTGTTGGGATTATATGAGATGTCGTTAGACGTCCAAATTGATATTGATATAAAGAGTGAGTATTTGAAGTTGAAAAGAGTACCCAAGAAGACAAAGGGTCCAGTTGTTACAAGTATCTCATTCACACGCCAAAGGATCAGACATCAAGTGTGAGTGAAACAGAATTTTAGGCATAATAGCCAGTCAGAAAAGCATCCAACTAAAAATTAGGTGATCTTGTCACTATCTAGGCTTTTTTTCAATTTCAATAAAGAGTCAAAACTGGTCCACCAAAATAAAACTATATCAAAATGTTTCATGGTTGATAATGTTCCACTCATTTCCCTAAATTATTCACATAACCAAATTATTTTATTTTGGAACCAATAAGTTTTATAAGTAGCTACGCAATGTAAGCATTCAAATTTGTTTGGAAAAAGGTAACTAGTGTGATGTGTCTAGTCCTCTATTTGGTGCAGACCGAATTCTACCAGTCAGGTTTGCAATGTGGCCACCATTCCACTAGGTAGCTCGCCACCACGGTGTACATTGATTTGATGATATTAGATGGTTGGAGGCAATCGGTCACAGGAAGCCTTGAACCTAGGTTTCGTGCTAGTTGGCACTCACCGGTCAGTAAGGCGTATCTGCAGTCACCTTGAAGGAACTCATGTTGCTTTTGAGATTCGAACCCGCGTCACCCAGTACTTCAATCAGGAATTATCCTCATGACCAAATTATTTTATTTTCGAACCAATAAGTTTTATGGGTAGCTATGCATTGTGAGTGAGACAAATTATTTATTCATGATTATTTGATTGTTATTCTCCGATGGAATACTATACAATCAGTTTACAAATGTGGAATTCATGAAACTACTGGAATTCTGAAATAATGGAGAGATATTTTGAAGTTAGATGATTGTTTTCTCTTTTAAGTACTCTGAGGTATACGGTAGCTTTTACTGCCCGTATAAGCAACAACATCAAGGCAAAGTTCCAAATAGATGGATGCAAAACAGATGCATTTATCTGCCATCCTAATCTAATTAGTGAAAAATCTATTGTTTTATAATTACTTTTTTTTATTCTTCATTAATTACTAAGTTCTAACTAGTCTTCTGATCTTACACTGTTTCTATTGCTGACTAACGCCTCTTTGCAGTGAATTTAATATATTGCGATTTCGGTTGATAACTCATTGCTTTTTTGCAGGCATTTAACAGTTTTTAAAAGACAATGAAACCTCTAGCCTTTTTTCGATGACTACATCAGTGACAGATTATGAACAATCCTTTATTAACAATCCGGGATGCAGTTAAGTTTGCTCCCTGTGTATATATCTGTTTAATTATCCTTATCCAGATAACTCTAGTGTGATCTATACAGAATCAATACTCGTCTTAGTAGACTAGGATAACATCCATATCCTTATTAGATGTGAAACGTGTTGTGATTCATGAAAAATCCCCATTCGAACATTAATAGACAGAAGACCAGTAGTTCAGCAAAGAGTCTCTTTTCGGCGAATTCATTCACGCTTAGCTGTACAACCGCAAATCTATATGGTTGTTTTGTATGTGTGTGTACATTAAATTTATCAAACAAAAATACAATCAGTAAGTTCAAATGAATTGGATATTGATATAAGAGGGTGGTAACATAAGTGATGAGTTGTCACAAACGATTGTTAAAGAAGAGTTACGTAATAACGTGAATAGTTTGATGAAAGAGTTGTGCTCAGGGTGTACGTGGAAACAAAATAACATACAGAATTACTCAAGAGTTTTAAGTAGTTAAATAGATAAGCATACAAGCAAAAGTTAAGTCAAATCAACGGAGTTGTTACCATGAGAGTAGAAGTGGTTGAATAATTTTCTTTTGTATGCATAGTTCTGGTTCTTCCAACTAAATGGCTAGGACTTCTGCAATGCGAAGAAGACGGAAACGTATTGTCTTTGGCAGGTTGTTCTTCACTTTGTAGATTACTTTGAAGGAGGCGTTTGTTGAGATGGAATGACTAGTGGTGATGAGATATTTGATTATTGCACTCCTTATACAGCCACTACTTCCTTTCCGCAGCCACGCTGGATAGTGTTACGTGACCCTTTTTGACAGGGTGTGTGTCGAACGACCGATGTACCTGGCTCCACAGCAACAGGTGAACTGATATATACACATAGAAGTGGTCAGGTGCGGGATCTTGTCGATATAAGTATAAAACTTGGGCACTGTGGTAGAGTATAATTCCATAATGGATAAGATTTTATTTTGATAAATCACACAGTGTAGTACAGTTATATTAACTGATGACGTTTCGAGCACAAACTATTGCTCATAATCATATCAAGTTGATATGATTATGAGCAATAGTTTGTGCTCGAAACGTCATCAGTTAATATAACTGTACTACACTGTGTGATTTATCAAAATAAAATCTTATCCATTGCGGGATCTTGTCCTTTGGGCTTCTGCAGATCAGCGGGCGACTGGAGAACACTACTCTCAATGCTGCCGCAAAGGAAGTTCTTCTTAAAGAAGCAGATATTCTCCTCCTAAGGGCATCACTGAGTAGGTCACCTTTGAATTTGAGGTTCATATAAAGTATCTTTTTTGGTACGGATGGCGTCTCTTGCTTTTGGATTTTCTGTTTGTTGTTTTTGTCTATGAATCTTGATGGATAACCATTTTGTATGAAGGTTTCTTTCAGGAAATGTAGTTCTTTTTCCAGGGTATCATAGCTGCAGACGCGTCGGACGCGAGTGGCAAGAGATCTAATTAGGTTTCTTTTTCGACTAATTGCTACCCAGCTGTAGAAGCTTGTCAGTTGGCCGTTCCATGTGGGTTTCCTATGAATGGACCTTCTTAAAGTTCCGTTAGCTCTCCCCTTGTAAGGTCAGCATCAAGAAAAGTAATTTTAGATTCGTTTTCAATTTCAAGAGTGAACTTTTTAGCTGAACGCAAGACACTTATTATTATTATATTACTATTGTTCCCTTGGGTTCCTAGCGGAACATAGGGCTTCAACTACACGTCTCCACTTGCTTCTGTCTTCTGCTGTACTTTTCACTTGCTTTCATGTTAGTCCATACTGTTTCAGTTCCTCTTCACACGATTTCCTCCATGTCACCCTTGGACGTCCCACTCGCCGCTTCCCTTTCGGGTTCCACTCGAGCACTGGCCTGACACGAGATGTCACCCAGCGGCCTCCTCAGTGAGTGTCCAATCCATCTCCACTTTCTCCTGCATATTTGTTGGGCGATTGGTTCTTGTTTTGTTTGTTCCCATAGCTTCTTGTTGGTGATTCTTTCCGGCCATCTAATCTTCAGTATTGAACGAAGACAGTTGTCGATAATAGTCTTGGTGACCCGCCTAGTTTCTGATCCATATAACAAAACTGACTTGACGTTTGTATTGAAAATCCGAATTTTGTTGTTGATGCTGAGTGACGAAGATTTCCAGATTGGTTTCAGGTTGATGAATGTGTTTCTCACCTTTCCGATCCTCGATTTGAAATCCTTGTCCGTTCCTCCTGTGGTTGAGACAATGCTCCCTAGATAAGTGAAATAAGTAACCTCTTTCAAATCCCTCCCGTTGATGGTGATTGGCACTGGATGTTGCTGTTGTTGTTGTTGTTGGTTGGTTATTTTCATGACCTCCGTCTTGTCTATGTTCACCTGCAGTCCTGTCTTTGCTGCTTCTTCCACCAGTTTGTCGGTTTTCGCTTGTAAGTCTTCGATTTTGTTTGACATCAAACATAAATCATCTGCGAAATCCAGGTCTTCTAGGTTCTTCACGTCGGTCCAGGATGTCCCTGTCTTCTTGTTTCCCACTGTCTGACGCATAATCCAGTCCACCACAATTAGGAATATCATTGGTGATAATAAACACCCTTGTCTGACTCCTGTGTTTACTCCAAACGCCTGGCTAAGTTTTCCGTTGTGGATCACTTGACATGTGCCGTTGTCGTACAGCTGTTGAATAAGGTTGATGAATATTTGGGGTACGCAGTAGTACTCGATTAATTTCCAAATTACTTCGCGGTCAATGCTGTTGAAGAGAGAAGAACGCAAGGCAGTAGGATTTTTATATGCGGATTCGTCAATATGCATTCAAAAATCCAGTCAAATTGTTTACATGTGAGTATTGGTAAGTTATACTATCAACCTATAGGGAATTCACTGAGTGTGTGATTTTGGTTTACATTAAACGACATGAAATAGAATGTTCAAATACATATATAGCATTCCATTGCTAATGCAGTATTGAATGTGAGAAGAATATTCCATTGGAACCCATTGTCTGTATCACACCGTCACACATAGTCCAACTAAAATTATTCGTCGTAAAAATTTGTTAGCTTTATTCCTTCCTTATCTAACTGTAATCTCTATTTTCTAAAGTAAGTCATTTTTTGGATTTTTCTACAGGATAAATCTACTTGTGAATTAAAATATCTTGTTCCTCTTCACTATCAGCAAAAGCATTCAGTTGTTTAGACTGAAGATTGTTAAGTCACTGTTACTCAATACCAATTGAACTGTGGACTGTAACAAATAGCGATAAGAAAAAATGTCAATTCATATACAGTAATCAAACTGAAAGTAAACTGCTACAAAGCTCGTCTTTAAAAATCTTTATACTGGGTCGTCACTTTAATTTGTTGAACAAAATCATGCCAAAATTAAGTGAAGATGAACGGAATCCCTGTTTTTAACAATCACCTACCAGTCAATACATTTGATGCTAATAACTGTAACAGATTCCCTCATTTTAAATCAATCAGTGCCTCATCAAACGACTCAAATGGTCAGTTATCAAATTTCACATCATTTCCAAATGATAATGAAAGTCAGGAAGAGGATACATCGTGGAATGATTGTTCTCCTTTATGCTCATTCAACTGTCTTATTCATTCAACGTCTACCATGAAGAATATAACTACTAACACATATGATCAATCACCTGATGGATTACACAAATTTGTAGAGAATTTTAAACAGAAAAGAATCAAATTGGGCATAACACAAGCTGAAGTTGGACGTGCTTTAGGTGAAATAAATGTATGCAGTTTCGGTTGTTTATCCCAGTCAACAATATGCCGATTTGAGTCATTATCTTTGTCACCTAGCAATATGCTTGCTTTAAAACCTGTCCTAGAGATTTGGTTGAAACAAATGGAAGAAGAATCAGTATTAAATCAAACATCGTTATCCAGACAAAAACCACAAAATCACGACCAAAATTTCACCAGTTTCAAGAATTCACTGAATAAATCGTTATCTTCGTCATTTAATTCTTCATCGTTAAAAGCGCCTACACAGAATAGACGACGTAGGCGTACATCTATTTCTGAGGCAGATAAATATTTCCTTGAATCATTTTTTCATACAGTGGACTGTCGACCGACAACAGAACAAATGACTCAATTAGCTTCACAATTGAATATGACGAAAAATGTTATACGTGTGTGGTTTTGTAATCAAAGACAGAAGCAAAAACGTCTTTTAAAGTTAACATCAACTTCATTGTGAAAAAGAAATGGTAACTTCTTTACTCGAAAGATTTTCATGATTATTCAGTAATATAAACAGTAGTATATGCAATCAATGTTACTTATAATAAAACTGTAGAATTCTTTATTAATTAGTTTTTAAAGTACTTCTGAATGTCACTCAGTGATAAACTATGATCAGACCTGACCAAATTTCACTTCGAAGTTCCTTATGGATAATTTGAAGAATAGTCACTCGGGTAAAGATTTGCTATTCAGAAAAGTTCAACACCGTGATAATGACTGATAAAAAAACTTAGAAAAGAAACTAGACTTATAGACCCCAGCTTCACCACATAGATAGATGGATAAACAGAAAATACTGGACTGTTTTCCCGCGCAATAATTGCTTGGATAGGTTTTGTTGTCGTGATGTTGTAACTACTACATTGGGCAGACATGATGAGACTATCATTGTAAGACTTGGAATCACTGTGTAGTAGCTCAGTTTGTTAGATGTCACATGTGCACTGTGAAAGAACTGCAGGATTGACCACACACACTTCAGTGGTATAAACATGAGTCTGAATGCATTATAAAATAAAACAAATGAAAGGCTATTGGAAAAATGAAATATAACAATTAAGCTGAGGACAAGATGTGAATACACCTAAATCAAGGCTGTCGATTCCTAATTGATAAGAAATAGAAGACATCAAGGTTAGTATTTCAGTTTTATAACATAGTTTCACTGATAAATATCTAATGTTTGATTAATGAACTTCTGGGTAGGCTTATAAGAAATCAGAAATTGTCTTCACATTTTAACCAGGGCCTGTAGCAACTATTCAGCCGCCGCCACGACCCCAGCATCTTTAATGACTGCTTAATGTTTGGTGAACGATTGGTGCTACCTGATATTCTACGAAATTCTGTATTGAAATAGTTCACATGGGGCGCCTAGAAATAGCACTCATGAAGTTGATCGCTAGAAGTTATGCATACTGGCCTAGCGTGGACGCAGATATTATAGAATTCGTCCCACGATGCCACTCATACCAAGCTGTAGCTAAAAACCCACCCAAAAACAACCAATGCATGGCCGTCATCTCAAGCGTGGTCTCAACTGCATATACATTTTGCCGGACCTGTTAATAGGGTATATTATTTGGTATTGGTAGATGCCTATTCGAATTGGCCAGAGGTGTTTCCGATTACCCCACCCTCCCGCAGCATAACAGTTGCAGCACTGACTAAAATTTTTGCATGTCAAGGCATTCCAGAAAGCATTGTGTCCGACAACGGCAGTCAGTTTACATCGCAGATTTTTCGAGAGTTCTATCAGAGAAATGGTATACAGCATGTGCGGAAGCCAACCTATCATTCTCAGACCAATGGCCAGGCAGAGAGATTTGTCGACACTTTCAAAAGCTGTCTACTAAAAGCGGAGGTGGGATCACACCGGAAAAGCGACAGCAGTTCCTCTTTGTGTACCGTACAAAGCCAAACTCAGCAATGAAGAAAAGAACTCTTAATACGGGACGAATGTTGCACACTTATCATCATCCTATAGTGCCATCACCACCAGCTCAACGGAAAAATAACTTCAGGATACTTCCACAAGGGAGAATCGGTATACGCTCGAAACTATAGGGCAGGAAGAGAGAAATGGACAGAAGGACAAACAAAAGGTCAACCTGAAGTCGTTCTGTACAAGGTTACAGTCGGTTATGAAACTTGGATGAGACATTAAAACCAGTTACGACATCGTCACGTTACATCCGCAGAGCCCTTGATCCACTACAGGAAACATTTAATTTACCCACTCCACGGAAAGCGGAGCCAAAGAAGCACCTGCTACCAAGAAGACGATCCAGTTGCAGTAGAACTTAGACCGTACGATTTCAAGTGGACCTAAAAGTAAAGAAATACTAAATGTTTCTGTACAGTTTTCTTTTCCTTTTGAGGGGGAGGTGTTATATACACATAGTTTTGCATAAAACCTTTAAATAACTACTTAAGGGGTTATCGCGCACTGGCGCACTTGAAACCTCTGTTTGGATTGGTGGGTTCCTATTGGCTGTTAATATTTTTAATGCATCACTGAATGATTGCACTTTCAAGGTCATTCAAACTGTATATATATACAGATTTTCTGTCAAGCATTTTGACTATTCTTTAAGATAGTAAAAGCTCTCTTATCGTCGTCTAGTCTTTTTCTTGTCTTCACGTGGCGGCGGCGTTGTTATTGTTGTTGTTGACGTGAGATTAGGAGAGATTAGCCAACGCATTAAGTTACTGATAGCTCATAATCTACTAGTTCGTATTTCCACTCATAGCAAATTAGCTGTAATAATCATTTTTAAACACTTTATTAATACGTATAAACTTAATTAATTGGGACTTAAGCGAAATTCACTATGTTTTAAACTTTTAATTTAATTTAATTTTGATTACAGCTTGATGCCACACCGTATTTTCAGTACAAGTATGGAATTTTCAGCATGGCCGACCATAGATATCGGGTGTGCGTCGGCAGGGTATCGAACCCCGAACCATGTGCATGGTCGGCGAAAGTCCTGACCACTGTGCCACCGACGCACATTTGGAAAGATGAGGTGTTTGTTGATGATTTTCGCTAGACAAAGTTTCACTATCCCCGAAGTTAAAATCGGTAAATTAAACGGAATTTATCATGTTTTGAGGTTACCTAGACAAAAAAGTCAACGGCTGACAGTATCGGGTATGTTACTAAGCCACTCAAGCATGTAGAATTGTGAGTGAACTAGATATTGCATACATCATGCATTTATTTCCCTTTATGAATTTGAATTCAACAGCTCGCGGCTTTATCACGTAACTCCTTTACCATTGAATGCATACACTGGTTTTGTTTAAACTAGAAGTCCCTGTGTAAAACTATATCTGTGTAATTTTCTGAACACTTTTCATTAAGTTTCAAACCTCTTGTCCACTGACATCACGCAATATTTGCAAGTATGTTAAAAATTTTCTGTACATTAACCTAATAATTTATGTAGGCTGTGAGCAGCTGATGAGAAGTCACCAAAATAGATGATGCTACCTTTTTATTCTGTACAAACTTTTCTTCTTCCTTTGTTCAAATTGTATACAATCGAGTGTTTTGATGTAGTTGTATCCTCTGGGCTGGATGATTTACTTGCGAAGCTTCCATTGCCCTACTAGGTAACATCTTCAGCGCATACATAATTTGAAGTGATCTTTTACATTTCTCCACGAGTTTATCAGTCATCTCTACTGGTGACCTTGAACGTGATTGCTTGTTTTTGTGTGTTTTCACACCCTCTAGGCTACTTGTATTAGAACTCATTGTTTCCTTGATTTGAAGTTTGACTTTTTGTACGTGAGATAACCTTCTTATCGGTTGGTAAATATTGCCTATCTCAATGTGTCTATTGATTGATGATTCACTGGAATACCAGGCAGGCTTCTAAAAATTCTCATTTCAATTTCGCTGAGATTTTACAAATATCTCTAGTCTATTTTTACTGGTATTGACTGTTTCCTTGCCCTGAATTTTAACTTTCTATGAATGAGATTTTCCTCCCATGGATTGGTAGATTAACTCGGTAACGGAACATCTGGTGAATTCAGGACAATCAGCGCCGTTTGTAAAGTCCTACACAGGATCCGATCAAAACCCTCAAGGTGAGTGAGATTAAGTCATTTCGGCACAGCTAAGGTACTAGCAATCCAAAAGTTTAAGCCAATTCTATGTATCCAAAACAAATACGTCCAACCTTTGCCTTTATCATGATCATCATAAACAGTTAGTCCTCTCAATAATGATTATCCGATTACGTTTCTTATCTAAACTTCCTGTTTATATTTGTTATCATTACGCTTATTAATCCACAACTGCACAAAAAGTCAATTTTTTCAATGGTTATTAGCTTATTATGTTTTTATCCTATCTCTCTATTTATTTTATTACCGTTACATTTTTAATCCCTATTTCTAATTCCGTTATGATTTGACCTTTGTCTGGAAAAAGTTCTGGAACTTTCCCATTCATTTATTTACTTTATATACACGAATGCATATCCAAGCTGATGACTTCATCGAAAAATCTTTTCTTCAGTACAACCGCCTTATTAATTTTTCCTATGACCAAATGTGTATATTCCATAAACTTTAAAACCATCATCACAGATTTATACCCTAGAAGGTTAAATCCCCTAAACGTTTTTAGTGAAATTGCGACCGATACAGCTGTCACAGTGATATTAGCATAATGAGGTGCTGATCGGAGAATAAATGACATCCTGGGTTTTAAAAGGATACCAACCAGTAATCTTTTCATTGCCAACCTGACTCTCTGTTAGCTGATCCATCACCAAGCAGTTCAGTGATATATAACCTTCATTAGTCTACCATAGAATGTCAACGAGAATTTAAACATCTTTAACGAGACCGAACAGCTTTAAATCTAATATCATGCAAGTACTAAAGGATCCTTAGTTGGATTTATTTCGTTATTCAAGTGTTTGCTTGCAGGAATTGGATTGGATTGGTTACAAGACTTCATCATGAGCCGACATCAGTTAGAGAACCATTGGAAGAGCACCCAAGAGTACTTAACAGCCGCTTCGTCCTAGTTTGGGGCTCCTCATCAGTACACACCCACCAGGTTTCGAAGCCAAAACCTTCCACTTACAAGGCGAGCCCGTAGACCGTTAAGTCACTGGTTATTCTTATGATTTCAGTTTACAGTACCAGGTAAATTTCAAATTAATGAAACCAAAAATTTATGTAAACATATCGCTTTGTAACGTGTATTGTAACTTTGTGAAATTCATCATAGTATACAGGCGGTTAGGTAATACGACTGAACACTCCTTTCTAAAATTATATGGCTTTCAGTATTGGCATATTCAGATGAGTCTAACCAATAAATTCTCTTAATTTCTAAAAAATACTAAAGTAGCGTCAGTTGGCTACTAAAAATTCCTATGCATTTTACAAATGATTTAGATAAGTTAGGGAAAATTGTTTATT